AGAGGGGATCCCATCAATCCATACAAATGTCTCCAAGGGGGGTCAGAGGATGGTGCCAGACTCTGCTCAGTGGTGCCCGTGACAGGACGAGGAGCGATGGCCACAAACTAAAACACGAGTTCCACCTCAGCAGGAGGAAAACTTCTCTCCCTGGAGGGTGGCAGAGCACTGGAAGAGCTACCCAGGGGGGTTGTGGAGTCTCCCTCTCTGGAGACATTCCAGCCCCACCTGGACAGTCCCTGTGTCACCTGCTGCAGGTGACCCTGCCTGGGCAGGAGTTGGCCTGGGTGATCTCCAGAGGTCCCTTCCAACCCCAGCTATTCTGGGATTCTGTGAAAGCCCACACATGCAGATGGAAATACAGTTCCTCTCCTTGTCTGGGTTAGTTTTTGGTCAGAATTCCCTTCCAGCCCGTAGTGCATCCTTGCTGCTGCTGGTTGTCCTGGACCAACCACACATTTTCTCTCTGTGTCTCTAGAGTACAAACCTTTCAAGTGTGAGGAGTGTGGCAAAGAGTTCACCAAGGGCTACCTGCTGAAGAAGCACCAGGAGGTGCACGTGAACGAGCGGCGGTTCCGCTGTGGGGAGTGCGGGAAGCTCTACAAGACCATCGCCCACGTGAAGGGGCACCGGCGGGTGCACTCGGACGAGCGGCCCTACCCCTGCCCCAAGTGCGGCAAGCGCTACAAGACAAAGGTGCGTCCCACACTGCCCTTCCCAGAGCCAGGGCTTGGGAGAGCTTAGGAGGCTTGGCTCCTGAGAGAGCAAGTGCCACCTGCCTCTTACATGTGCCCAGAGAAGCTGTGGCTGCCCCACATTGAGCATCCCCCCTGGAGGCTGAGGTGCCTCCTCCCTGAGTTCGCCGTGCCCCTCAGGAGCCCTCCCCTTGTTCCCCGTGTGTGCAGAACGCGCAGCAGGTGCATTTCCGCACGCACCTGGAGGACAAGCCGTACGTGTGCCAGTTCTGCAGCCGGGGGTTCCGGGAGAAGGGCTCCCTGGTGCGCCACATCCGCCACCACACCGGCGAGAAGCCCTTCAAGTGCTACAAGTGCGGGCGCGGCTTCGCCGAGCACGGCACGCTCAACAGGCACCTCCGCACCAAAGGTGAGCTCCCAGGCTGGGGAGGGGGGCTGGGCTTGGCTCTGGACGAGCTGCTCTTTGGCTGAGAGGGAATGATCCTCACGGTGGGTGTGCCCTGTGGCCGAGGCCGTGTGTTTCTGTGCATCAGGAGATGCCTGGAGACGGTCACATCAGCCTGGAGAAGGTTGTGTGGAGAGCTCCCAACAGCCTTCCAGTATCTGAAGGGACCTGCGAGTTCTGTGAGGAAAATGTCTTGAGTGAAGTTCTCACAGATAATCTTGTTTGATGGGAGTAGTTGCACTGGACCTGCTGCTCCTAAGCGTGGATTTCCAGACGCCTTCAGGTAGTGCTGATGGTGTATTTAGGTTCCAAGGAACAATATGAGTTTTTCTTGAGGGGGAAAAGAAGTTTCCTAGGAGACACTGAAATGCATCAGCAGAAAAGAACAGCAACTTAAAATATACCCAGACTCCTCCTGTAGGTTCTTCACAGACAGCTTTTGAAATCCTGGGTGGGTTTATCTTCTGAATTTAGCTGTGTATTTTTCGGAAAAAAATACTGGGGAGCTGCTCTGCTTGAGGCTCAGTTGCTTTGTGTCACAGGGCTTTCCTAGGCTGTTCCTTGGCCTGTCCTGGTGTGCCGAGAGCCTCCTGTGTGACACTGGTTACTTGTCCGTGGCACCCCGTGGAGAGGCCTCGTTGGTGTTGTGTAGCACCTTCCAGGTACTATCACATGGAAAGTGATGCCTTTCTGGCACTTCTGGAATTTTCCAGGTGGCTGCCTCGTTGCTATGAAGGAGGTGGAAGAAGTGATGGTGTCTGAGGAAAGCCAGTCAGCCGACAACTTGGCGGCCACGGTGATCTCGGAGGACCCGCACACGGTGCTGGTGGAGTTCTCCTCGGTGGTGGCCGACACTCAGGAGTACATCATCGAGGTGAGAGGGGCAAACAGCTGCTCCTCTGCAGTGTAGCCTGGCAGTCAGTAGGATTAACCTTCCTTGGAAGGAAAGCACTTGGAGCTTTCCTCACCCTCCTGAGGTGCTGCGTGTGGCAGGGGCAGGAAAAGCAGAGCAGAGGGCAGACTGACAGTGCCTCAGCAGGAGGGAAACTTTTGACCACACCAGATTTTATGGCCTCACAAACTCACTTCAGCTTTCCCAGTTCTCTTCTCCCATTTCTGTTTAGCTTGTTTTGTCCCAAATAGTCTCTGTTGTTTCTAACAGAGCCTGCCAAAAGCAATGAATTATGTGTTTCACTTTCTCCCCCTTCATGACACAGAGCCAGTTCTTATCCAAGCAGGATAACAGAGCTCAGTTATTGAGTTCCTTTAGTGCTGCCATAGTTTTTCTCCAATGGGAGAAAAATTTGCTGCTTGGCCAAATCTTGCTGAGAGAGGAGGTTCTCTTCCAGTTATTTGTCAACATTTTGCATTAATTTTAAGTAGCTCCTGATAATGGGATTTGGAGGGAATGTCCTGGAGGTCTCCTTGGAGTAGCTACGGCATCATGGGGGGGACACAGAAAGACTTGTGTAAAAGATCTGAGTGAATTGTATTTTGGTAACAACGGATTTTTTTGTAACAACTTAAAAAGGGAATCCTCTCATTTTGTCTTTCAAGACTTCTACTGAAGACATGGAGACCAGTGAAGCTACTGAAATAATAGAGGGAACCAGACATGAGGTAAAGCAGCCACACAAACTGTGATTTTGGGGCCTTGGCATAGATGAAATGAGTCACTTTTAGTGGCTGAATCATGCTAAGTAAACCCAAGAGAGCTGGAGGACGACTTTGGACAAGGGCCTGGAGTGACAGGACAAGGGGGAATGGCTTCCCACTAACAGAGGGCAGAGCTGGATGGGATATTGGGAAGGAATCCTTCCCTGGGAGGGTGGGCAGGCCCTGGCACAGGTTGCCCAGAGAAGCTGTGGCTGCCCCATCCCTGGAAGTGTCCAAGGCCAGGTTGGACGGGGCTTGGAGCAACCTGGGCTGGTGGAAGGTGTCCCTGCCCATGGCAGGGGGTGGGACTGGATGGTCTTCAAGTTCCCTTCCAACCCAAACCATCCTGGGATTCTCTGACTCCACATCAGACCTGGAAACATGATGTGGCTCATTCTGCCGGATGTGCCGTGGGCACCAGGCGCTTCCCCAGCACGAACTGTAAACACACCCGGCCTCTGCCTCTGCCGCCCCGCAGGTCGACAGCCACATCATGAAGGTGGTGCAGCAGATCGTGAACCAGGCCAGCTCGGGCCACCAGATCATCGTGCAGAACGTCACCGTGGCCGAGGGCGCGGGCGCCGCTGCGGACGCCGCCGACACCATCACCATCGCCACGCCCGAGAGCCTGACGGAGCAGGTGGCCATGACCTTGGCCTCGGCCATCGGTGACGGCGCCGTCCTCGCCGCCGACGGCGCCATCGCCGCGCAGGAGGCCACGGTGACCATGGTGGCGTCCGAGGACATCGAGATCATGGAGCACGCGGGAGAGTTCGTCATCGCCGCGCAGGAGGGGGAGCTGGAGGTGCAGACCGTCATCGTGTAGGGCACCCTGAACTGGCTGGGGGGCTCCAGCCTGGGGGGCTGGGGCAGCCCTGACCTGCCCCTGGCGACAGAACGCGCTGGGGCTTGATGGGATGGGACAGGCCTGGAACAGGGTGGGACAGGACGGGCACGGGGTGCTCCAGCTCAAAACGGGCAGTGGGAGATGAACCCTCGGCACGGTCCCACGGGGGAGAGACTGACAGGCCACAGTGTCGTGTACAGCAGCCTCGAATTAGGGAGGATCCTTTGGGAATTAGTTCCCTCTGCCCCCAGCACAGCAGTGGTCTGGTTTTTAAAGGATTCAGAAAGTGTGGGGTCTCACAAGAGACTTATTTAATCATAAGCATTTAAAACAAGTGGAGAAAACCAAACCTAAGGAATTGTGAGGGGTGTGTTCAGCACCACTCCGACACTCTCATGCCTTTAACCTCGCTCCTTCAGGCCTCCCAAGGCATGGTACTGCAGTATTATTTGATATCCTGGACAAGTAGCCTTATGTACTGGTCTCTGAATGCATCCTTGTACCCTGCAATGCCAGCCAGGCTGCTCTGAGAGCCAGTCTGGGGGCTGGAAAGCCATATTGTATAGGAATTTGGGGTTTTTTTAAAACCATATATGAATTTTTAATTGCATATTGTACAGATTCAGCATGTAAATAAATACATTTTTGAAAATAAAATTATTTAAAGTTCTTACTAAATTTTTTTTTTTTTTAATTTCTGCTCTGTTATCACACCAACAGAAGAATTTCTGGAAGGAGAAAGAAATGGGGGCTTTTATACCGTGCTTAAGAAGTGGGGGAGTAGTCACTGCTCTGCTTTGATGTGGCCTGGTCAGTGACTGCAGGGGGGCAGCCCTGGAAACAGCAACTTCCCCTGCAGCAAAGTGCCCAAAACACAGAGAAATGCCTAAAACCACACAATGGAATAAAGATGGGAAATGCCAGAAGGATTAAGTCTGGAATCTCTATGTCCAGAGCTATCAAATCTGTGATACCCTTCTCTGTCCAGAGATGGGTATGAGGATGCTGAAATTGTGTCCAGAGTTCCCCATTTTCACAATTTTCAGGCTGAAATGGCATCTTATTGATGAGGTGAAGGAGCTGAAAACAGGGATCAAGGAAGAGACGGGTAAGGAAATGCAGCACTTTAATGTCCTTCCCCAAATAAAGGTGTTATTAGTACAAAATCTGCAGCAGAACATGGTCTCTGCAGGTCAAGATCCTGCCAGTAACCATCTTTTTTTCCAGTTAGATACACACAGCCTGTTGTACTTACAGTAATGGGTTGATAATTTCCTAAAGATACTCACAAAAAGATGCAGCTTCCTCAAAATTCACAGCAGGTCTGTGTTAGCCCTTCCCAGGGAGAAGCATTCACTGCAGACAGGACTGAGCTGAACCTCAGAGAGGGAGGGATCTTAAATGGTGCTCTGCTGGGGCACCATCAATCCAAATCCTGCAGTGATCTTGTCCCAGAAGCTGCTGGGGCATCCAAACCCACTGCTGGAATAAAATCTCACAAAGTTTAAAGATGCCCAAATATCTTCATGTTTTCTTCTTCCTTTCCAGTGCTGTAGGAGGCTTAAAGATTTCCTTTAAATTCCTCCAGATTCCTTTAGAATAAATGTTTTTGTAGACAAGTTGTCTGTCAGGGGGCTGTGATGAGAGATGGTGGGACAGCCCCAGTCTCCTGGATTTACACCACTCATTGGTGGTTTGGTTGGTGAAGGCCAAGTACAGGCTGAAAGCACTGTATCCACCCAGGACGAGTGTGAGCAGGAGAACAAACCCCAGCATGAAGACAATCCTAGGGAAAGTCAGGAAAAGGTGCTGCAAGGAAAGGGAAAAATAACTTAGTTAAAAAACTGGAGGATTAAATCACATGGCCACTCTAAAAGCCCAGCTGGAATGAACATCCATGTGCACGTGGAACTGTGGGGGAGCCCCAGGAACAAGGTGCCAGCCCTGACCCCCACCCAGCTCAGCGAGGCTCCATTCCTCAAGAAACGGCCTCAAGTTGCACCAGGAGAAGTTTAGGCTGGATATCAGGGAAAATTTCTTCACAGGAAAGGCTGCAAAGCATTGTCACAGCTGCCCAGGGCAGGGGTGGAGTCCCCATCCCTGCAACCGTTCAAAAACTGTGTGGATGTGGCACCTGGGGACGTGGGTTAGCGGTGGACGGGGCTGAGGTGCTGCTTGATGGTTGGACTTGATGATCTTAAAGGTGTTTCCCAGCCTTAACAATTCCATGGTTCTACCTGAACCTCTGAGCAGAGCATGCACAGTCCCAGACATGTATTTTCTCCCAAGCCTTGCTAATATGTGGGAGGATTTTCCACACCCGTCTCTATTTCCAACTGTTTGTGTTTGGAGTTTTGCTTGTTTGTTTTTTGTTGTTGTTTTACTTTGTAAAACATTAACACAAATCATCTGAAAACAAACTGCCAAGTGAAGGGGCAACAATCTGGTACAACTTTGGGTTTTGCTGAGCTCTTTTCTGAGTCGAACCCCACCCCCAGGGAGTGGTAATGGCATTGCTCAAACATTTCCTGACCAGGATCCCTTTGTAAGAGTCCAAGGCTGAAACATCTGCTGTCTAGGATGAGGAAAAGATAAAGCACTTAGTACTTACCACCTCACTGCCACACTACAGGGATGAGGGGACTGAGAGAAAAATTACTCAAGTGCTAGAGTCTCACAGTCACCCTCTGCTTGAATGTGAGAGAAAATATTCCAAGTATCTAAATTCCAGGGTAGTGGGTCCTGCTTGAACATCTCCATGAGGATGTCAAGGATTGTCAGCTGTTTCCTAAATGTTCCTACACTAGGTGGTCACGGAATGTCATCCTCTATGATCCAGGTCTGCTGAGTGACAGACACTGGAGACAGAAATCCAAAGAACGGGAGAGCACAGGGAGGTGCTGGGAGAAAAAAAACCCACATTTTTCAAGCATCCTGCAACGGCAGCTTTCTAAACCTAATCAGCTGCGTAGAGCTGCTGAAACTGCCGGGGTGGGAATAGACTGCGGGGAACAGGAAAAGATCCCCGACAGCAAAGAGCGAGGCCGAACCTCCCGTAGCGCCGACTTACCTGGACCAGGAAGGGAATCTCCACAGGGTGCTCCTGGCCCTGGGCATCCAGGTAAGAGCTGTGCATGACGTTGGAGAGCAGCACCACGCGGGTGAGCAGGGCCAGGGTGAGGGCAGTGAGGGTGGCAGCCGTGGCCGTCAGGGACAGCAGGTACAGCAGGAACCAGCCCGCGTTGGAGGCCCCCACGCAGTTGTTGAGCCACACACAGTGGTGGTCGAAGCGGTGCACGCACGTCCCGCACACACCTGGGGGGCAGGGACACGGCAAAGGGCTGGTCACCGGGGTTTCAGGGGACCAGTTTGATTTTTACGCAGTCTGGGAGAGCTTTTAACCTGAGAACACGTGAGGACGACAGGCGGGATTCAGCCGACGGCTTGTGAAGCAAAGACATTAATTACAAATGCATGTCAGAAGAAAAAACAGGTGTCCCCTCTCCTGTTCAACCAAGACTGCAGCTTTGGTTTTCCTGACAGTACTGCACAGCAAAGCACCTGAAAGGTAGGGACTGCAGCTCCCCCCTTTACTTCAGAGAACAGCAAACTCTTGCTGAAAAAGAGGAGGTGCACTACTCCTCCCTGGAAGTGTTGCAGTTCAGCCTGGATGTGGCTTGGAGCAACCTGGGCTAGTGGGAGGTGTCCCTGCCCATGGCAGGGGGTTGGAATAGGATGGTCTTTAAAGTCTTTCCAACCCACACCATTCCAGGATTCTGTGAAACACAAAATCCTGAACTTATGTCTTGACAGGTGATAATTTCTCATTTAGACTTCCAGCTGCTCAAAAACCTGGCTGTTCCTGACCCTGAATTAGACCATCAGAACCGGTAATTTCTGTGAGAAGAAACAGCAACAAAGCAGTTCCACGGCTGGGCAAATGCAGCTGTGAGCTGGGACCCCAGGAAAACAAACACAGCCCTGTGTGCACTGAGCTCACAACAGAACAGCTGTAGTTGTGAACTGCAGCTCCTGGTGCAGAATTCCCTTGGGAAAGGATTGCTTCTCAGGGAAGCTCAGGCTCTTACTGCAGTGCTTGGACCTGGCTGGCTTCTCCATGGTGCACGTAGGACACACGGTGCCCCTCTGGAACATCACCCCATCATAAGCATAAACCTTAACCAGGGATGCATGGTTTGACTTCGTTATTATCCCTGTCAAAGAAACAAGAAAAACAGTGGGAAAAAAAGAGGTATTTATAGAATTTTTAAGGCTGGTTTTCAAACAGCTCCAGCACGAGCATGAGCTTACCAGGGTTGGCCCGGGAGCAGAGCAGGAAGCAGCCCATGTTCCCAGCCAGCAGCAGGTAGGGCAGGAGGAGGAGGAGGAGGTGGAACTGCAGCTCCCAGCAGTACCCAAACACCTCCCAGGTGTATTCCCCAAACACTGCAGCCTGCAAGGCCATGTGCAGGACAACAAACAAACAGCTCCTGGAACAGAAAGGGGACAGTCTATTTAATACTCAGCATCCTGATTAACAGGTCAAGTACGCTCAGAGGTGATCAAAGACTTTCCAAATGCAAGGAGACACCTCTTTTAGGTTTTCAGGCCAGCATGGATTGCATATTAATAGTGTTTTCTCCATCCACTCGCTTCTCTTTCTCTTCTTCCCACATGCACTCCTTTAAACACGCCAGTTAAATTCACTGCATTATTTCCACGTCCTTTGGATTTTTCCTCCCTGTCAGTACAAAGTCTCATAATCACTTTGCTGCTGACAACACATGCCACAGCAACGGGCCACAAAGCATTCTGCCAGAAGACATTTGCTGCTCTGACAGCAAAGAAAACCCCAGTAAACCATCTTAAAAACACTGTCATAGGATAAGCAGCTGCACGAAGTAAGAGTGGCAGGAGGCTGGCAGAGGTGGACACCAGCTCCAGTGCACGGGGTGGGGGTCCCAGTGTCCCCAGCTATCTGACAGTGTCACCTCTCTGTCTCAGGCTGTGTTACAGCACAGGATCTGCAAAACAGGCAGCACAACAAGCCCAGCACTCACACCACAGCTGGAGATGTCACACCCTGAAGTGTCTGCCCACTGGAGCTACTGCCCCCAGGGAAAAGGTATTTAAATGAGCCCTGAAGCACCGGAGTTCACAGACCCTACAAAAGCCACCTGAATCCAGCAGGCTGCGTGTTGGCAGCTGGGCAGCTTCCCTTGAGCCACCTGGGCATCCAGGCTGCTGGACTAAGGCTAATGGGATTTGAGGGGGAGGATGGAGCCTGTCTGACTCCATCTGCAGCTGCCAGAGAGGCCGTGGTAATTCCTGTGGGGAGGCAGCTCCCACCAGCGTGAGCAACATCTGTTACTGAGCCACATTATCTTCATCTGTCAATATGTTCAAATATTTCAGCGTGCCACCTTCTAAACAACGAGCAAGGAAGAGAGAGACAACAGCATGGCAAACCTTAAAGGGAACCTGTAACCCCCGACAAACATCCCTGACCATGAGGGAATACCTCAGGATAACACTGAGAGCTCTGGTGGTGGCAGGAGAGCCCAACAGGAGCCACAGATATTTAGCAGAAAATAATGCCAAAGGCAGGGCAGTGCAATACCTGGTGTGGAAGAGCCTGTGCAGGGCCCCGTGGGTCACCCTGTGTGTCACCCTCTGCAGCTGGGTGGGGATCACCAGTGACAGCACCTGAGGGAAATGGAGATGCTGTGTTACCTGACCTGCACATCACCTCTGCCTTGGGGAATTTAAACACAAAGCCGTAGAATCATTTAGGTTGGAAAAGCCCTCCCAGCCCACAGATCCCCCCCCTGTGCCCCATCCCCACCCTGTCCCCCAGCCCAGAGCACTGAGTGCCACGGCCAGGCCTTCCCTGGGCACCTCCAGGGCTGGGCACTCCAAACCTCCCTGGGCAGCTCCAGTTCCTGAGCACCCTTTCCAGGAGGAAAGCACAGATGCAGGCACGCTGGGGCTGCACATTCCTGGGAGCCCAACAGGCCCAAACAAACGTATCTGGGTTAATGTGTGAAAGTTCTAAGGAGCTTAGGCTGGGGTAGGCTGGGGACTGGTTAAGCAGGGGATAGAACTGAGCAATTCCCCAGCTCCAATATGCTCCATCAGGCCATCTGACAGATCAGGTGAAGAGAGGCAAACGGATAAAGCCTGCTGGCCTCCAGAGAAAGAAGAAAACCCCCACAGCCCAACCAAACCCCCCCCAAAAAACCCTGGTTTCTTCGACCCCTCTGGTCCAGCCCCGTGGCTCCACATCTAACTGCCCCCTTTCAAGCCCAGCCCAACGTGCTGAAGGAGGCAGTGCCTGTGCTCATGGAGGGAACCCCCAGCCCGTGTCTGTGGAGCTGCCTGATGCCCCCAGCCCAGGGGTCTCTGTAGCAACGCAGCAATCAGAGCAGCCACCAGAGCAGCCACCAGAGCAGCCACCAGAGCAGCCACCAGAGCAGCAACCAGAGCAGCCACCAGAGCAGCCCAGCCTGTTTCCAGCTGACACGGGAAGAAAATATGCAGCGAGAGGCCCTTGCCTCAGATGGGAAAGAGCAGGAGGCAAAAAGCATATGTGGAGCTGAGAAAACATCAAATATTTCTGTGCTGACTGGCACGTCTCATCTCAGCTGTCCAAGGGGCAAGTGTTTGTAAGAAGAGGCTTTTCCAAGCCTGCTGCCAGAGGAGACACAGCCCGGCAGGAAAGCACCCTGGGTGCAACCTCAACAGCCTTCCAGGCTTATAGCCTTCACTATTTACATATCTGCATTATTTACAGTCATTAATTACAGCTAGAAGTGAATTTAAATCATAGAAACCATGGAATGTCCTGAATCGGAAGGGACCCACGAGGACCATCCAAGTCCAACTCCTGGCCCTGCACAGGACACCTCAACAATCCCACCCTGTCCCTGAGAGTGTTGTCCAAACCCTCCTGGAGCTCTGGCAGCCCTGGGGCTGTGACAAATGCCCTGGGGAGCCTGGTCAGGTAAAGTGTTGGCTAAATTCACATGGATTTACTTCACATGTACAAATATCAACGAAATTCCTCCAGACAGTGGCTCCACAGCACAGCAGTATTTTAATTCCTGCTTGTTAAGCATTCCATGGCAGCAGCTATTGAGAAATGGGGGAAAATAATCAATTTCTCTGCACATTGTGTCCATAAACCAAGATCAAGTATAATACTAGTAATGAAAATCAGAGTCTGTCTGAACTCCTGCGAACAGCATTAAATATGATTTACAAGAGAAGTGATAATTCTCTCATCATTTCCCTTCCAGGAATACTACAGCTTTTTTTCCCCTTTTCATTCAGACACAGCCCAACAGACAGAAAAATGAGCTGGTGCTTTTCCAGCTCTCCATTTTAACAATAAAATGCCAATTCTTAATCCTCTTTTAAAACTCTTCATTCCTCCCTCTTTCTTAGTAAATAACAGCCTGCAGCATTAGTACACACATTAAAGAGCTTCCCCTAAAATATTTGCCACCAGTTATAATTCTCTATTTTAATCCTTAAACCTCCCCCATCTTTTTCCCCTCAAAGACAGCAGCAAATAACATAAAACTGAAAATTCCCGGGGCCTGATTATTATTTAATTTCTCAAAGCTGACACGTTGTGGTGTCACAGAACAAGGTGCTTCCAGCATTTGGAGAAGCTCCATCCTCACCCCCACCCCAGACAGGCAGGGACAAGAGCTGTGAGACCCAAATGGCTTTTACTACCTGCTTGGT